TCTCCTTGTCTCAGGTCCACCTGATACCCTATAGTTCCCTCTGTTCTCTCATCCAGCTGCTGATAAGACCTACCTATATTTGGAGTTTTGTGGGTATACGTTGTCCTGATTGTGTTGTGTAGATTCCCTGTGGGTTTGGGGTTATACTATCCTAGTGGAGGCTTATAGTAGAATCGGGTAGACTAAACACAACACCTTCTCCACTGCTACCATCTTTCCAGAACTGGCGACTGGGTATTTTGTGGAGCTCTTCAGTGACTCCCTGTAAAGCCAGGGTTGAGACCCAGCTGCTCTGATTCCTCCTTTCCTGATCCTTGGTTCCTCAGGGTTCAGCCTCCAGTCTGCTCTCCTACGATCCCGGTCTCCCTCAGCAATCTCATCCTCTTTACACTACCTCAAAGGCCTAGTTGACAGCCTTGCTTGGCCATCCCAGGGGAGCTGGACACATCTTCTCATCCCTCGGATGCACCACAGTTCAGCTGTCCCAGCCAGAAGCCTTGGTACTAGCCTTCACTCCTCTCCTTTCTAAGCCCCAAAATCTCATCAGTCACCAGTCTTTTTAAAGTCTCCATCTCCCATGTTGGCGAAACCTATCCAAGTCTCCATCCTCACAGTGCTTGAAGCTACCATCTCTGAATTATTGTAATTTACTCTTAACCAGTCATACAAATTACTGAAATGTTCTTAACTGGTCAGCTCATTGCCCACTTTAACGCAGATGACCTTTCTCGTCCCTCCATCTTCCTTGCTTAAAAGCTACCACATTCTTAGGGTCTGTGCTGTCTTCCTGACATGGCTTAGGAGGACTTGTACTGGTACTGTTTAAATATTTGCAATCTTGCCTATGTCCATCTCATGCCAATACCTGGCCATCTGGAAGGCCTTTCTGCTCCCCTAGGCCACGGCACAGGATGTTCTTAATGACAACCCTTTCCAAACCACTCCTGGCCCCACAGCTAACTAACTCACCCTTTACTCTTCCTGCAGGACTTAAGTGCCATCCTGGGTCTTCCCCTCCCACCTGACCTGCCTTCTGACCTCTGGTGGGTGTTCCCGTGTGATCCTGGGACATGTTATACCTACTGACGAACTGATCTTGCTGCTTGCTGGGGAGGGCGGAGGCACATGCAACCTAGTGATGGGTGACTGGTAAATCCATCCTATTTTTTGTTAATGACAATGTTAATTCAGATTGTGTTCTCCCTTCTGACATCATTTATATTCGACAATTTTAAGTAAGTTCTCTTTGATAGCAAGACACTTTCAGCTTTCACAGCCGAAAATGCTGGATCAGGTACTCAAGCCCTACCCCTCTGAGCCTTGAGTTATTAGGCAACTTCACGTGTTCTGAAAATACTGTCTCTAGGGCCTTCTGCTCCCTGAGCAATGCCTTGTGCTCAGCGGACCCTGACCTCAAAGTACTTTCTAGACTTTCCATGAATTTAGAGGACGATCTGTTTCCCCTGAGCTGGAGGGTCGGGGTAGGGGCACGTGCATGAGTCAAGAATCTGCGACACACGGAGCGTTGGAACTTCAGCTCGCAACTCCCGCCCGCGCTCCTTGCGGGGCGTGGGACCACAGGCAGGCGGGGTCTGGGACCCGAGTTTTCCACTTCGGACCGGCCCCGCCCGGACCGGCCCCGCCCCCTGA